CCTCAAGCTGCTCCCCCCTCTCAGGGAGGAAGGAGCAGGAGTGGGACGTGCTCATCCTGAGAGCATCAGGGCACACGAGACTCCCCCTTGCTCTGGGAGCCCCCCACGCACCTTTAGGACCCACACACACCTCCGCACCCGCCCCCCCACACCACATCCAAGTTCACCCCCCATGCCCCACAGGGAGGAAGGAGCAGGAGTGGGACTTGCCGATCCGGTGAGCATGTCGTACATCAGGGCACCCAGGCTCCACCAGTCCACTGCCCGGTTGTGCCCACTCCTCACCAGGATCTCAGGGGCCCTGGGGGGCACAGAGAGGTCCCTGAGCGGATGGGAGGCCAGGACAGACCCCCCCACACTCCTCCAGTGCTGCATCCACCTCACATGTACTCGATGGTGCCACAGAAGGTGTGGGTGACAGCTCCGTCATGGATTGACTCCTTGCACAGCCCAAAGTCTGTCAGCTTGATGTGACCTGAGGGGGATAGGAGTGTCAGAGTGTCAGCACCATCCCCAGAAACTCCCCCAAACCCCCCAAATGCCACCCCCAAAAGCCCACCTTGGCTGTTGAGCATGATGTTCTCTGGCTTGAGATCCCGGTAGATGATCCCATGGGAGTGCAGGTGACCCAGTGCCAGTGTGATCTCGCTCAGGTAGAAGCTGTGGTGGGATGGGGGGACTGTGAGTGGTTTTGGGGTGACCACCCCCACTCCATGCCCACCACCCCCACATTCCTACCAGGCTGTGTCTTCCAGGAAGATTCCCTCCCGCTCTAGCTGCATGAAGAGCTCTCCACCTGCAAAGAGAGCTCAAGTTGGACCCTGTGAGCCATCCCTGGGACCCTGTGAGCCACCCCTGAGACCCTCTGGGCCATCCCTGGGACCCTCTGAACGATCCCTGGGACCCTCGGAGCCATCCCTGGGAACCTCTGAGCCATCCCTGGGACTCCCTGAACCATACTTGGACCCAGTGACCCATCCCTGGGAACTTCTTAACCATCCCTAGGACCCTCTGAGTCACCCTTGCACCTCCTTGAGCAACACATGGGACCTTCAGAGTCATACTTGAGACCCACTTGACCCATCCCAGGACCCACTGAGCCACCCCTTTGGATCCCCTGAGCCATCCCTGGGACTCTCTGTGCCATGTCACCCTCCCTGGCCCCCATCCCTCACCACTGAGGCACTCCAGGATGAGGTAGAGCTTGCCGCCCGTCTGGAAGGCATAGATGAGGTCCACGATGAAGGGGTGTTTGACAGCCTCCAGGATGTTCCTCTCCGCCCTCGTGTGTGCCGTGTCCTTGGCATTGCAGGCAATCTTGGCCTGGGAGGGAGGTGGTGAGCAGAGAGGGGTCCCCAGGGGGGCTGGGGGGCCGGGGTAGTGCTACCTTCTTCAGGACCTTCATGGCGAAGATCTTCCCAGTGTTGGTGCCCTGGACTTTGCGGACCTGGAACACCTGGATGGATGGATGGATGGATGGATGGATGGATGGATGGATGGATGGAAGAGGGTGGTTGGGGATGCTGTCAGACAGCACTGGACCCCTCCCCTGAGCCCCCAACCCTGCTGTGCCCCGCACCTTGCCATAGCCACCCTTGCCCAGGACGCGGAGCAGCTCGAAGCAGTGGGGGCCGATGTGCTCGGGGCCGTTGTTGACACTGCTCTCTGAAATCTCAATCTCTTCATAGTGTCCCACCGGCCTGGAGGGAGAGGGGGTGAGCAAGGATGGCCCCTTGCCTGTCCCCTGCCTAAGTGCACCTCCTCCTCAGACTGCCCCCCACTTACTCCAGGCCGTTTCCCCGTGGCTCCAGCTCCATCTCCTGCAGGAGGGAACCCACAGTCAGCGCTGGGCATGGGGCAAGGTGGGCAGAGGGGCAGTGGCAGGCAGGGAACACATGGCAAGAAGGGGACACATGGTGGGATGGCAGGCAGGAGAACCACGGCATGCAAGGGAGCCACGACAGACAGGTAGGGGACCCACAGAAGGCAGGGAATACACAGCAGGTAGGGGACCCACAGCAGGTAGGGGACCCATGACATGTAGGGGATCCACAAGAGGCAGGGGACCCATGATACACGGGGGACCCAAGACAGGCAGGGG